CCCTCCCCTCCCCTCCTCACTCGTTCTCTCAACAAATGGCTTCACAGCGCGACAGCACCTGACTTATACTACATGTGTTGCCATGGCGGCGTTCCCGTTGCCAAGGCGACCCTGTGCATTTAATGTGTAGTGGGCGAGGGGCTAAACTCGTAGCAGACGCCTGTTTTCCGCAACCCTCCTCCTCCTCCTCCTCCCCCGCCACCCAACATCTTCCCTCATCTTTTTTTTTTTTTTTTCCTCCAGCAGGAAAAAAGAAAGACAGAATTTGAGAGAGATAAAAAAAAAAAAGGGGGGAGAAAGAAAGAGAGCTCCTCCCCAACCCCCTTGAGACGCCCTCCTTCCATCTATTCTTCCCTCCCCTCTTCCTCTCATCCAGATGCTGATGGGGTGTGAAGGAATGCACCATGGAGCTGACCTCCTACCCAGCATGCCTTTCTCTCTCCTCTCTCCCCTCCTTTTGCAGACACACCGTTGCATATGTCAGACACCCATTTGGAAATACATGCACACACACACACACACACACACACAACACGCGCACTCCAGCCGCATGTGGGGGTCGACTGGTGAGTTATTATAGCCCGTGAAAAACGCAGGAGGTGTGAGCGACAAACAGCAGAGGACAAAGAAGCCTGTAAACCCCCCCCCACCCCCCCACAACTACAAAACCAGCTTCCTTTTCCTTCCCTTCTCCCTCTCCCGCTCTGCCACTTCTTCCTCTCTCCATCTCCATCATTCTCTGCCGTCGTCTTTCCACTCCCGTGTTGTATAGAACTGCTTGAGACAGTCCTTGACCTTAACATAATAGACATGCTGTGCAACCGTTCACAGTCATTACACTTCATAACATAATATTCTTGAGAGTGAGGGCTCTTGAGAGAGATATCGTGTTATATTGATTGGACACGAGCTCGAGGATATAAAAAGGAGACGCTAATGCCGTATTCTAACGCGGACATTTGTGCATTCGCGTTACTAAGTGTGTTTTTTTTTAGTATGTGATTTATTGTGTCTCTGACCCGCACTTGAAGATTCACAAGATTATCTTAATACAGCACCAAATAACCTTCACCTGTTAGCAGAAATGGAATATAATAGCCAGAATTATGATTTTTTTTTTATAATTACTAAAAAAAAGCAAGAATCAGTGTATTTCAGTCACCTTACATCTCCAGAATCTACTGCTGTAGCTGACTGCAGACACTAGGGGGCAGTGTCAAAAATACATGGAACAACCAGAACTGTACTCTAGTTTGAGATGTTGTTGGTCCTTTTTGCTCCTGCCCCTGTCATTTCCATATTGCTATGCACATTTTGAAGTACCGCATAATAAAAAGTTAATGGAAACGTCAGAATTAAAAAGAAAAATTTTACCAAATTTGCAAAAAAAAGTTTTATTTTTCGACTTTTTTGGATCTTTTTACATTGTTTCCACCTCCAGACGGCACGAAACATGATCAAAACCAGCTGAAATTAAACAATAATTACACATTTTGGTTGTTTTATTTGAATTTTTTAAAAACTCTATGTCTAACGTAGCCCATGACGCCCCCTTCTGATGACAACATTTCATTTCAACATTTCAGATGTTCGGCTACAGTGCCAGCCATAGCAGACTGTACTTAAGTAAAACTAGCAGAAATAAAACTCATGGATCTACCTCAGAGAGCATCACACCTAAAGGACCCTTTCACCTGTCTAGTTCAACCAATCAGCATCCAACCCATGCACCATAATGGCTTGTTGGAGAGCTGTTGTCTCCGTAACCCCATCCTTCACCAACAACTAAAACGAACACCAAGCAGCGGGTGTTCAAGGGATGCAGAAATCCTACACACTGGTCCTTTAACGCTCAAAATGTTAGCTTTAAATGTTGTTTTCCACATTTAGAGGGAATCTGTGAAGAATCTGTACAATACCAAAAGCATTTATGTCTATCCCTTGTTTATTTTTATTTGTCAGCTGATATAATACTGCAAACTTCCCCGCTGTGGGATTATTAAAGGCTTATCTTATCTTGTCAGTGTCGTGGTTGATGCCTACCAGATACTCTGATATATGCTTGTGATAGCTTATGGAGGCAAAACTCGAAATAACGTGTTTTTTACACCTAAACGTAATGTTCACTTTTTAGCACGATCTGTTGGGAGCTGTCAAAAAAAGTTTTAAAAATCTGCATGCTGACCGATCCATCTCCGTAACAACTACGTCAAAGACTGCATGAAACTGGGGGGAAAAGACAGCATCTTGAATTTCTTTTTATTTTTTCTCTGAAATTAATATTAAGATCAAGAAGGGACTTTTGTGCCACCAGCCATGTGCTTCTGACCCTGTGCGATCTAAAAAGCTGCATGCGGTCCACACTTGTTTGTCATCTTTTAGCATAAAAAGTGAAAGTGAATGCAGTTGCAAATTCTGACCTTCTGCCCACAGCGGCCCCTGTTGTGCCAAGATATTACTTAGAGTTGTAAAGGGTAATGTTAATAATCTTTCATCTTTTGAACTCTGATTTTTCCCCTTTAAATTTATCACCAAATGGCTTAAAATAGAAAAACAAATTCTTCCAAACTGCATATACAGATATTATAATGCGAACCACTCGAAGCTTGAGATGAATGCTTGCGCTGCTGCTCTTCATCATGAAACGCACACTACAGATGATCAGTGCGTGTAAATACATTATGTTATTTCAACCCGGCATGCTTAAAATTCTTAGAATCTCTCTGATGTGGATCCCGCAGAGCAATGTTTCTAAGAAGGCTAAAGGACCGTACATATGGATTTCATGTTTTAGTCTATTAATAACACATGGTGCGAACTGTACATACTGAGATTTTCGTATGTTTTGTAAAAGTTGCAGCTGGAAGATGAAAAGAAGCGTTCTCATCACCCAGGACAAAAACAACAAAAAGCAGAAGTCAAGACCAGGCTCACAGAAGTTTGGCCGCTTCTTACATTTAAAGTTTGGGTGGACTTCAAGCTGCAGCAGGCAGAAGTCTGGAAACTCTCCCGAGTAAAAGTTCAACCTACATCCTAATTTGTTCCTTTTTCAATACCGTCTCACCTGCTCTGAGCAAAAACACCTGGTTAAAGGTGAGTCAAGAGGAGCTGCAAAAGTCGAGTTTTCTCTCAGTAAACTTTGAATTACAAAACGTTGACATGTTAGTGTGGAACTTTTCCCGCATGATGGCTAAAAAACATTGTCTAACGCAGCTTTAAAGGCCCTAACTTACTGTTCTTAACTGAAAAAGAGTTATTTTGACAAGATTGTAAACCATTCTTCATGGGGAATTTCATTTTCAAGAAAGTTTCTCGTTTTTGCAAGTCTGATCAATGTCACATCATGAACAAATGAATGGAAACTACAGCTCAAAATAAGCACCAAATGGACTGAATCAAGTCGACAGAACAGCAATCAGCAACTACAATGTTATGATAATTATTTAATTCATGCAAATCTGTCCAGTTTCCTGATTGGAGTTTCTACATTTGCTGCTCGTTTCTGATTTATATCACTGTAGCTTAAATGTGTTTGGGTTTTATTAGTGCAGGAACGGCCCCCTAATAACTCCAAAACAACAGCAAATAGTCGTCACTGCACATGACTCCAGGTTTGCAACGTTAGCCAATATGGAGAATTCTATGTTTGAGAAGGAGGAGAAGGATGCTACTCGCTACAAATGACCAGAAAAAAAGGTGTTGCCTGAGTTTAACCAATCAGCATTTGTCTTCTTTGAGTTTAATCAAAGTAGACTGGCCTGTCAAAAGTACCCACAATGGATCCTGAACTTTTTCTCTTCCCTGAAAGAAGTTGTGCAGAGGTGGTTTTTCGCAGTTTGCAGAAAGGTTCAGGCTGCCCTAAAAAAAAAAAAAAAACAAGGCACTGAAGGATGTAACCTTGGATTAGGAGGGCCTGCGAGGGACATTCTATAGATCAAATACTTAAATAACTGAACTACATAGTGTGTTCATGCGCAAACACACAACAGCGTGCTCCTCGGGCGCTGCATCACAAGGGACTTCCAGCTCCGCTCTCACCGAGGAGCGGACTTTTCTGGTTTCCCACCGCGTGTCACAATGCAAATGAACAACCTCCTCCTCCTCCTCCTCCTCCTCCTCCTGCTTCCCTCCACACTCCGACCTCTCCACGCCGCACCCCAGCTCCCCTCCACCGCCGCCGCCGCCGCCGCCATCCCCCTCATGTTCCGAATCCAGCCTCCAATTTGTTCCACTTCCCCATACCTCATTGTTCAAAATGACACTTTTACATTTTATGGTGAACCAATTATTCTGTCTTACACAGTCCGCTGGCTCTGCAAGCCAACCTGCCCGGATCAACTGGGGAGCGGGGTGGAGGGTGGAGGGCTGCTGCTGCTGCTGGTGGTGGTGGTGGTGGTAGTGGTGGTATTCAGAGAAAAAGAAAGAGAGAGAGCAGGAGGAAGAAAGAAAGAAAGAGAGGAAAAAAAAAAAAGACGACTAATAGTACCTCTCTCTGACATATCCACAGGGATGGGCAGAAAAGCTCGAAACCGAGATGTTAGCAGAGGGAGAGGTGGAGGAGAGGTCAGGTGAGGAACGTGGAGGAAGAAACAACGCGGGCCGGATGCTGCAGGATGTGAGCGCGTGCGGCCGCGAGAATAAAGTGAACGTAGACAAAGGAGGATTTAATTGAATGATAAAGTGACGGAGAGAGAGTGAAAAGAGTGGAGAGAGAGAGAGAGAGGGGGGGGGAATAAATCACAGCAGGGATAAATAAAGAAGATGGAATACTGGGTGCCCCACTAGTTGTAATGTATGCCTGAGGAGGAGCGGGAGGGTGTGTGGGATATTAAAAGAGGAGACAAGAGGAGCGAGTAGGAAGCCGGAGGAAAAAGGCAAAACGGGGAGTGAGGGAGGGGGGAGGAGGAGGAGGAAGGACAGGAAGGAGGGAACAAGTGAACACGTGGAGAGAGAGAAAGAAAGAGAGAGTGGGAAAAAAAAAAAGGGCAACCAGTGCCTTTTACCTGCGATGTGCCTGAGGGGGAGGGAGATGGGAGGAGGGGCAGAAGTGTTGTCGCATGAAAACAGCGTGCAAAAAGATTTGAGGAAAAGGATTGGGCAGGTCAGCTATAGAACGCCTGCAGCGAGTGGGTGGAGAGACAGCGACAGATGGAGAGAGAGGAAGAAAGAGCGAGCGTATTAGAGGCTTTTTTTTTTATGTTATATGTGAATATTGGCACCGGCGTGTGTCCCCCTCCCCTCCTATGATTGGTTTCATTTGATTCACTTCGAGATCCACTTACATCAGATAAATATTCAAAGAAAAGGACTTATCTCGGCATCATTTATCCTGAGAACTTCTTTTTGCTCCACAAGTGAGCAACGCCGGGGAAAAAAATAGGCAAACAAGTACATAAAACCACGCCGGCTTACGCGTAACATTCATGCAGATGTGCAAATTCGCTGAGACGAAGCGAAATGTTGGAGCTTCTAATCTGAAAATTGCAATCAGTCTTATGTTTGAATTTTTTTCCATTCACCCGATGCTACAACAGATTCTTGATTTGACAAACTCCCCTAAATGCTGAGCAGTTTCTGGGCACTTTTTTACTCACTGTTGGCTCGTTTTTGATGCTATAATGAAAGTCCTGCACCTCTATGAAAATATGGCTCGAATTAGAAAAAAATTAAATAAAATCATCATGTCTTCTGTGCAGGATCGTACAGTTATGATGCCATGAATTGCAAAAAAAAGAAAAGAAAAGAAAAAGAAAAAGCGGAAACTTCAGGTGATTTTTTAAAATTTTAATTACTTGTTTTAGGAATTTAAAAAAAAGAAAAAAAAACTGCAATTAACATGCCCTCCAATCCTGGGGAACAAATGGTGGCTCTACGTCTTTTACATATTTTACTATTTACATTTTTACAACTTCTCTAAAAGACGTTTTTTACTGCATTACTCTAGAAAGATGTTTCACCATGCTGAATGTATCTTCCAACAACTTGCTCCTCTGTATATCATTGTTTAGCCATGTTGAATTTAGTTTATTGCTTAATTATGTTCTGTTTTCCTCTCATTTTTTGTATCATGTCCTCTCTGCTTCGCCTGGAGTTCACATGAAAAGTTTTGCCTGCTGGTCGCAGCTGCTCAGTTTTTGCTGAGCAGTGCAGAATT